TGGAGACGCCCAGGTGCTGGGGCCGCTGCACCAGCGGGGAGACCTGGAGGAAGCTCCTGGGCCCTGGCTTCAGACCCGCACAGCTCCGGCCGCTGTGGCTATTTAGGGAGTGGACCACAGGATGGAGGCCCTCACTCCTGTCTCTCCCTCTCTCTGTAATTCTACCTTTCAAACACACAAATAAATCTAAAAAAAAAAAAGTGTCTTTCAATCACTGAAAATTCTAAGGTTTCCACCAAGTTAATTTTCAAACTTGATCACATTTGTAGAAAATGCTCAAAACCAGTCACTGGGCTGGCCGTCCTCCACGTCCAAATGGGCTCTGGGCTGCTGGAGCCCAGGGAGCAACCCGCGGCGGCTCCGAGGGCGGCTCCACGGGCCTGGCCTGGCTCCCCGGCGGGCTGGGCTAGGGCGCCTCCTCCCTCTCGACCTCGCTCCCGGCGTCAGAGCCTGTGGCTCTCCTGCAGCCAGGAACTGCATTTGCAAACCCGATCGCTTCTGCTCTGCCCCCAATTCCCATTGCACAGTCAGGGACGGGCAGCTGCACAAAGCCCACAGCAGGGCTTCCAAGGGGCGCAGGCCACGCTGCCCAAGATGGGGACACCGGGGCCAGGCCCTCAAAGAGCAGCGTGAGGGAAGCAGGCGCAGGCTCCGCCACGCGCACCACCTCGCCCCAAGCTCTGCTCCCGCTGCGGCCTGGCCCCACCTCCCCGCACGCCAGCCTCCCCCTGGCCAGCTGCTCCTGCTCGGGGCCTTTCAGCTCCGCCTCCAGGTGACCACACCTGCTCCCCACCGTCCTCGGTGCTGGTGTACCTGGGGACCCCCGCACTCCTTCGGCTGCTGTCCTGTCCTGCCCACGCCGCGTGTGTGTGCAGGTGACCCCACACCGAGCGCCACAGCACAGCGCTGAGACCCCAGCCTGAGCATGGAGCCCCTGCCCTACCCGAGAGCGCCGGCCCCGTGGCAAACAAGGAGGGGGACACCAGCCAGGAGAGCCACAGAGGTCACCTGTGCACCGTGGTCCCTTCCTGGACCGGCTGGAAGCCATATTTTCTCTCCATTTTCCCTTCACTGTGGGGAAAAATTCGCATCAGGGAAGATTTACTGCTGGGGCCAGCATTGTGGTGTACCGGGTAAAGCCGGTGCCTGTGACGCCAACATTCCACTGGTTCAAGTCCCGGCTGCTCCACTTCCAATCCAGCTCTCTGCTGTGGCCTGGGAAAGCAGTGGAGATGGCCCAAGTGCTTGGGTCCCTGCACCCGCGTGGGAGACCTGGAAGAAGCTCCTGGCTCCTGGCTCCTGGCTTCAGCCTGGCCCAGCACTGACCACTGCAGCCACCTGGGGAGTGAGCCAGTGGGTGGAAGACCCCTCCCTGTCTCTCCCTGACTTTCAAAATAAACAAATCTTAAAAAGACAGATTTACCACCTCAACCATTTCTTAACGTGCAGATCGGGGGCACTCAGCACCCTCCATCCCTGCGCAGCCGCGACCAGCACCGTGCCCAGCGCCGTGCCCAGAGCTTTCTCTCCCTCCCAAAGAGGAACTCCGTGCCCCCCGGCCCTGGGGCTCGGAGGAGTGCAATCGTGCAGAGTGGGTCCCGAAGCCCCCGCCCCGCGGCAGAATTTCCTCTCAGCATCGCTTCGGTGACAGCTCTGGGGGGGGGGGGACTAACAAGGAAGGGGCTTCCTGCGGCTGCACAGAGACCGGGCGGCCCCAGGGTGCCGGCTCCTGGCGAGGCCAGATGAGCAGAGGGCCAGCCGGGGAGCAGAGAGGGGGCTGGGCTGCGCTGGGTCCAGGCAGCCAGGTGTCCAGCGAGGGCCGCCCCAGAAGCCAAGATCAGACGCGTCTGGGCCCTCACCGCACTGCGGGCTCTGGAGCGTGACCCCCGACCCCGGCGGGGAGCAGGTGAGCGTGCCGCCTGTACACAGGTGACAGTCACCCCCGTCCCGGGCCCGGGCACTTCCACAGGCAGCTCTTGGGAACGGCGCAGCCGCAATCTGAGGTGGAGACCCCGGGGCCAGCTCTGCCGGGGGTGGCGGGAGGTGGGCGGACAACACACCCACTGCACATGGACAGCACACGCACTGCACTGTCCCCCCACGACTGCTGGGCCTGGGGGCTGGGCTCACCCAGGACACTGCCCCACACAGCAGTGCGGGCGGGGCGCCTCAGCAGGGGCGTCTGCACCCGGAACAAGGCCCCCCATGGGCCCCCAGAGCACCAGACACCTCCTGCACGGAAAGTCTTACCCACGCCTGGAACACGTATCCCGTGTGCTGTGTGTGTGGAGCGACAGCGCTCAGGACGCTGGCTGGCGCACGGCTCAACAGCCGTGGCGGGCACTGGGCGGGAGCCGCCGGCCTGCGTGCACACGGCCGCCTTCCATCCAGGGCCAGCTTCCCGCAGCGCCCTCCACTGTGCCAACCAGAACCAGAAGTCACGCACACTTCTCAGGGACGGGGCACCTGCTGTCACGGCTGGAGCCGAGCTGGGGGCTGGGGTCAGCTCACCCCAACACCATCAAGGGCTTCAGGGCCAACCTGCTCGACCTGGCGTCCGAGCCAGGACACCGAAACGGGGCAGCTCCGAGCCCAGTCGCCACCTGGAAAGGAAGCGCCCCTGGACGCCAGGGCCCCGGGGGGAGCCCGGCCCTCACAGCCACAGAAACCAAAGGGCCCCACCCGATCAAGCCTGCTTGTCTCCGCCTGGTGGCTGCACCCGACAAGAGAACTTGACCTTCGCCAAACCCGAGCCAAGTGTGCTCAAAGCCGGCCCCGCACCAAAGCTGTGCACCATCTGCTGCATGTGGGAGACGCCACTGCAGGGGGTGCACGTGCACCAACACCCCCACAGTAAACCAGAGCCGGCACCCCCGTCACCGCGCCTGCTGGGTCCCGGCTGCTCCCTGCTAACGAGCCTGGGAGAGCAGTGGAACACGGCCCAAGCCCGTGGGCCCCTGCACCCATGTGAGCCCCGGACGGAGCTCCTGGCTTCCACCGAGAGCAGGCTGAGCTGTAAGTGCCACTCGGAGAATGAACGCACACGCGTTTGTGTGTGCGTGTGCGTGTGTGTGTCCCCGCCTCACTGCGCCTTTCGAAAAAGGAGAGAACAGAGAGCATCTGAGGAATCACCCCACCCGCCTCACTGGACGGCCGCAGTCTCACTGGACGGCCACGGTCTCACTGGACGCCTGCGGTCTCACTGGACAGCCGCAGTCTCACTGGACGGCCGCGGTCTCACTGGACGGCCGCGGTCTCACTGGACGGCCCGCGGTCTCACTGGACACCTACAGTCTCACTGGACGGCCGTGGTCTCACTGGACGGCCCGCGGTCTCACTGGACACACACAATGAGAAGCCACGTGGTCCCCACCTCACCGGGGATCGTCACCCTGTGGCGATGGCACCTCAAGGCCATCAGTCTGGAAAGGCCACACAGCGTCCACTCCAGCAGAGCGCACCCTCCTGGGGCCCCCACTGCCCCTGGACCTGGCCTCAGGACCCCCGTGAATCCAACACTCAACAGAACTTCTGATGCTCAACACGTCCTGGGAGGTCCGATCCGGGGAGGGGGCTACAGCGAGAGCCAGCGGCCCGGCCGGCACGGGGGGGGGGGGGGGGGTCCTGCAGTCGCTGGAGGACAGGACAGGGCCGGACACCGCGGAGCCGCCGAGCCGGGCGGAGACGGGAAGCAGGCTCCCGTGGGAGACCCCCCTGCGCGCACGGAGCCCCTCACTCCGCGAAGACGCACTCACAGCCACTCTGTCCGCCTGAGGCCCGGCAGGAACGCGCCTAGGGGCCGGTGCTGCGGCGCGGCCGTGAGCCCCTGTCTGTCCCCTGCGCCCACGGGGGAGGCCCCGAAGGAGCTCCTGGCTTTGCCCGGCCCAGCCCGGCGGTTGCGGCCAGCCGGGGGGTGCGCCAGGGGAAGGACGACCCCTCTCCTGCCCCTAACCTTCGAAATAAGAAAATCTTTAAAAAACAGTAATTTTAAAAGTCAGTGGGATTTGCATTACCTGGGGGGGGGGGGGGGGGGGCAAGGCCCAGAAATAAAAACAAAGTCGCCCAGGCCGGTTCCGACCAGAAACAGGTACAAGGCGCCATCTAACCGAGGGCGGCGTGACGGCCTCACGGCGCGGGCAGACCCTGACTCCGCACGTGCCCTGCCCAGTCTGGCGGCTCGTGCAGGATGTGCACCCGGGGTATCGGGGATGGAACGCGAGCCCGAACGTGAACCCCAATGGAGGGTCGCGCGCGCGTGCGCGCCCGTCCCTGAGGCCCGCGGACCCCGAAGCCCAGCCAGGGGCGTCGTTACCTCCCCCGGACCAGTCTCCCACTCACCTCCTTCTGACGGCCGACAAACCGAACTCTCCTGTAGTCTTTGTCATCGTAAACCTGCAAGAACAGAACGCAGACCTTACGCACGCACGCACGGCCCCCCAGACGACAGCCGGGCTCGAACGAGGCCACCCCGCGGGGCCGAAGCCGCACCGGAGCGCGTTCCTCCCCCTGCGCGTCCAGGGGGGTGCGGCTGCACGACTTAACACCACGCGAACTCCCAGGACTGCACGAGAGGCCGCCCCGCGCCGGGCGGCGCCCCCAGACCCTGCCTCCGCGCCGCCAGCGCCCTGCCCGGCCAGCCCCGACCACCGACCACGCCCGGCCCGCGGCCCCGAAGCGGCTACCTGGCCGGTGTGCGTGACCTTCTCTCCTGTGCTCGAGACTCGCACCCCGAGCCCCCGTGCGCCCCGGGGCGAGAGCAGCAGCCGGCGGAAGGTCAACGCCGCCGCCATCTTTCCCACTGACCCTTGACCCGGCGCGCCGGCTCGCCGAGCGCCGACGCATGCGTACGGATCCCGGGACTTTTTTCGCCCTAGGGAGGCGGGCACGGGGGCGGGGCGAGTGCTGCGCCTGCGTAGTGCGGGCGGGCCTGGCCGGCGGCTCCCGCAGCCGGGACCCCGGTGCTGGCTGACAGCTGGGCGTGGGGCCGCTCGGTGGTCCCTGCCCGGGGGGGAGGGCGGAGGAGGCTGCAGACTGCTGCGGCACTGTCCACGTTCTTCTGCTCACCGGTCAGCACGAGTCTGAATATCAGATGTCCCTCCCGGGTGAAGGGGCCGATTGCTTATCAGAACTGCGGGCGCAGGTGCACGCGCGCGCCCCGCGGCCAGCCGCCGGCCAAGGCGGTGTATTCTGCTTGCACGGGTCCCTTTGGGGTCGATCCCGGCCTGCAAACCTGGGGGTCCCCTTGGCCTCGGGCCTGTGTCCCCTTCTCAGGACCCTCCCAAGGCCGGAGCCGGCCCGACCAGGAGGGACAAGGCAGAGCCGGGGCCCGGGGTCACCCGAGGTGACCAGGGCAGCCCCTCGCCGCCGGGCGCGCTGCCCTAAGAACACAGGGCTCAATCATGTGACGGGGGAGATAAGAAGCCTGCGGAACCCCGACGGGTGCCCACCGCGCCTGGGGGTCAGCGGCGACGGACCGGGGCTGGCGAGGCTCCGACCCGCGTTCCCGGGGGCCGGAGCGTCGGGCGCGCTGGGCGGACGCCCGGGAGGGCGGCTCTCGGCGGTGGGCGCACGGTACTGGCCGTGGGAGCAGCCGTCGGGGCGGTGTCCGGCCGCGGCCAGCCTCGCCCGCTCGTGCCCGCGCGCCTGAGCCGCGTCGGCCCGGATGTCCTCTTCGACACGCGGAGCCTCGCCACGCCTGGCCATGGGCTCGGTGGCTGTCCGCTTTTTAATGCCTTTCACTCGCCCACTTTTCCCACGTCGCTCCGCTCAGAAAGTGCTAGGCCCCAACGCGACCCTGAAGCGGACACCGCCCGAGCGCGCATGCGCTTCTGACTTGGCGCGGCGCGGGGGAACCACGTGACTCGTCGCCATCTTCCTTCCTGGCGGCGGTGTCCGCGCCCCACTGCGCAGGCGCGGGCGCAGGCGCAGGCGCGCGCGAAGGCTGGTTGCAGGGCGTGCGCACCGCTTCTCTGCAGGTGAGTCTAGGGGTGCGCGTGGTTCTGGGGCGCTGGGCTCGCGGAGGGGCGCCGCCGGCCGCGGGAGGAGCAGCGCTGGCTGCGGTCTCGAGGGTGGGTCCGGGCGGGACGGAGGAGCCGCCGTGACCGCCCGTGTTCTCCCCGCAGGTCGCCCGCGGCATGGCCGCCGCGCTCGTGAGGACCCTGGCGGCCGCGGCCCTGCGCCCCCTGCTGCAGCCGCGCGGCCTGTGCGCCGGCCTGCTGGGCCCCCTGCGCGCCGCGGGCCCCGCCGCGCTGCCCGCGCCGCCGCCCGCGCTGGGCTTCAAGACCAAGGGCGTGCTGCGCCGGCGCTGCCGGGACTGCCGCCTGGTGAAGCGGCGCGGCCGCTGGTTCGTGTACTGCGAGAGCAACCCGCGCCACAAGCAGCGGCAGATGTAGGCCCGACCCCAATAAAGCCCGCGCTGTGCAGCGTCCGCCCGCGTCCGCGTCCGCGCCCGCGCCGGTCAGCCCGGGCCCGGGAGCAGCGGGGGCGGCCCCGGAGAGCCCTCTGCGCGCCCCGGGAGTGGGTTCCGGGCTCTGGCGCCCACGGTTGCCGCGCGGGACCCCGAGGGCGTGTTCGGTGGGAGAGGCCGTTGCCGGGGTGGGCTCCGTGGACGAGTGGGCGGCAGGGCAGGCGGTGGTCACCCGGGGCCCTCGGGGGGACCTGGTGCGCCCCGGGGCGGCCGCGCTTCCTGCCGCGTCGGCATCCCACGTGGGTGCTGCTCTGGGACAGCAGCGGTGATGGCCCGGGTGCCCGCGCCCCTGCACCTGTGTGGGAGACCCGGAAGAAGCTCCTGGCTCCTGGCTCCGCAGCCATTTGGGGGTGAACCGGCGGATGGAAGATCTCTCTAACGGTGCCTTAAAAGAAGAAAAGGAAACAGCGTGGAGGACGTGTGCAGGCGCGCACCGCACAGCGGCCACTTCGGCCGGGAAGGGCCCCGGCGTCAAAGTGGACAGGGCGCGGGGAGTCCCGGTCAGCTGTCCGCGGGAGTCTCGGCGCACCGCAGCCTGGGGCGCGGGTTCGGGGCAGGGGCCCCACCGCGACGCGGCCTCCGGGAGTGGAGGCACCAGGACTGCGGGCCGAGCCGGGGCCGCGGTGCCTCCCCGTCAGGACTGCCCGCCGTGGGACGGGTGGACGTGCCGCCCTGGGGCTCTGGGGCAGGGACGCCCCGGTGCTGTGCAGCCTGCGCGCCCTCGCGTTCTGCCGGAACCTCCCAGTAAAGTTGTTTCTCTAAAGCAGGCCTGGGCAGCGTCATTCTTGAAGCTGAAGCCGGGGTCACCGGGGTCACCGGGGCAGTGGAGGGCCTGGGGAGGGAGCGATTATCCCCGAAACCTGGGCCATTTGTGCCGCTTTGGGAGGGCCTGGCTGGGCGTGTGAGCCCCGGGCCGCCCGCGGGAAGCCTCCTGCAGGGGCTCCAGTCGGTGTCTGCCGGCTGCGAGGCACCGCGTCCCGGACAGGGCCTGGGCTGCCCACCGCAGGCGTGTGCTGGAGGGAGGCCAGGCACTGGCCACTCCCGAGGACAGCGGCTAAACTGGCCGGCCCGCGAGCTCCCCCTTGGGCTGGGCCGGTGCAGTCCATCCTGCCCTGACCGCCGGCCTCAGTGAGCCCCACACCCCAGGGGCTCCACCTTCCGCCTCCTGCGGCTGGGAGGCCCGGTGTTGAGGTGAAGGGGTCAGTGAATGACACCCAGCTGCACTCAGACAACTGCTGGGGCAGCACCACGGGACCAGAGGTGGACGAGAGGCACCGACAGCCTTGCTCCGTGAGGGCCCTTCCTGTCCTGGGACTGGACTCAGCCACGACCTGTCTCCTGCAATCTTGGACGCTGCACGTGTCGGTGAACAAGGAGAGGTTGAGATTACAAGTACTCACCACAGGCCAAGAGCATAAAACACTGAACGTTTAATCCAACAAGACACTTGTAATGCAAACACTGTTGCAATAATAACTGAATGGAGAGATGCAGGGTGTAAGGGGACTGCGAGGCTTGGTGATACTGAGATGTCGGGGCAGGCACCGTGGTGTAGCAGGTAAGGTGGCCACGTGCCGCGCCAGCATCCCACATGGGCGCAGGTTCGAGTCCCGGCTGCTCCTCTTCCGATCCAGCTCTCTGCTATGGCCTGGGAAAGCAGTGGAGGATGGACCAGGTCCTTGGGCCCTGGGCCCTGCACCCACATGGGAGACCCAGAGGAGGCTCCTGGCTCCTGGCTTCGGATTCGTGCTGTTCTGGCCTTTGTAGCCAACTGGAGAGTGAACCAGGATGTAAGACCTCTCTCTCTCCCTCTGCCTCTCCTCTCTGTAATTCTTACTTTCAAGTAAGTAAATAAATCTTTTAAAAATATGTCAATTCTCTGCGAATGGTCCATAGATTCATAGAACCCCAGTTAGCACCACAGAAGGGGTTTTTATATGAAATGTTGTGGTTATTCAAAACCTTCTCCGGGGAAGAAAGGAAGTGGGGTGACCAGAACACTGAGGGTTCACACTATGGGATGTCAACAAAGCCGCAGGCCCAGACTGTACACCAGGGCCCTGGGGTCCACACACAGGCCCCACAGTGCACACCAGGGCCCTGGGGTCCACACACAGGCCCCACACACAGTGCACACCAGGGTCCTGGGGTCCACACACAGGCCCCAGACTACACCAGGGCCCTGGGGTCCACACACAGGCCCCAGACTACACCAGGGCACTGAGGTCCACATTATGGGATGTCAACAAAGCCGCAGGCCCAGACTGTACACCAGGGCCCTGGGGTCCACACACAGGCCCCACAGTGCACACCAGGGCCCTGGGGTCCATATACAGGCCCCACAGTGCACACCAGGGCCCTGGGGTCCACACACAGGCCTCACAGTGCACACCAGTGCCCTGGGGTCCACACACAGGCCCCACAGTGCACACCAGGTCCACACACAGGCCCAGCGTGTGTATGCAAATGATGTTCAGGGCGGACTTACAGGCATTGCCGCGAAGAGAGGGTGGGCCGCCCCCACAGGACCCTGGGAAAATGGAGTTCCCTTGTGTGACCAATGCCATGGCGGCTGCGGTCTCGGGGGGATGCCGACCACCGTCAGCCTGACTGGTGTCACTCTGCAGCCGTGGGCTTCACCCACGGACCGAGCCGGCCCAGGGAGCTGCCCTGAGAACAGGAGAGGAGTGCCGTGGCGAGTCCAGCCCCGCCCCGTGTGCTGTGTCAAAACAAACTCCGCCTCTGCGGCCGCCCCACACAGAACAGCCCTGCAGCCTCGCGGGGGCCACCGTCCACTCTGGTCTGGACCCTGGTGTCAGTGCCCGGATAAATGTTTATTCTTTTCTTTAAAAATGCTCATTGGGCCGGTGCTGTGGCATAGTGGGTAAAGCAGCTGCCTGCAGTGCCCGCATCCCATATGGACGCCAGTTCGTATCCCTGCTGCTCCACTTCCGATCCAGCTCTCTGCTGTGGCCTGGGAAAGCAGTGGAAGGTGGCCCAAGTGCTTGGGCCCCTGCACCCGCGTGGGAGACCCGGAAGAAGCTCCTGGCTCCTGGCTTCAGATCAGCTCAGCTCTGGCCGTTGCAACCATTGGGGAGTGAACCAGCGGATGGAAGACCTCTCTCTGCCTCTCTCTAACTCTGCCTGTTAAATAAACAAACAAATCTTTTTAAAAATGTAATTTATTTTTACTTATTTTTCTTGAGATTATTCATTTGAAAGAGTTACAGAGAAAGAGGAAGAGACAGAGGGAGAGACCTCCCATCTGCTGATTCTCTCAAATGGCTGCAGCGGCCCCAGGACCTGGCCACCCTCTACTGCTTTCCCAGGCCATCAGCGGGGAGCTGGATCAGAAGAGGAGCAGCCAGGACTTGAACCGGTGCCCATGTGGGGTGCCAGTGTCACAGGCAGCGGTTTTACCCACTATGCCACAGCGCCGGCCCTATTTTTACTTATTTGAAAGGCAGAGTGACAGAGGTGGGGGTGGGGGACAGACCGTCCGTCAGTCATCCACCCCCAGGGACAACACGGAGCCGCCTCCTTCGTTCCCAGCCTTGGGACTTCTAGGGCATCACACGCTCCGTCAACAGGCAAGCTGATACCTTGGCCACGCGTGACGATGAACTGAACACGAGTAACAGGCCTAGACGTAGGACGTAATTCTCCAGGAAATCCTCGGAGAAGGCACGGGAAGTGGTCTTGTGACCTTGGCTGTGGGAAACGTTCTAGATATAAACGCAGAGCACAGCCATGAAAGGACGCATGGCTAAGTTAGACTGCGGAGAACCACTACTCTGCGCTTCAGGAAAGGAGAACCGAAAAGCAAGAGGCACCCCTTGGAAGCCACGTTTCTGACAGAGGGGCGGATTTAGCAAATATAAAGAAACCTCAGAACTCAGTCATCGGAAGGCAACGTTAGACAGAAGACTGGAGAGGTATGCACACCACGAAATACACGGCGGCGGACGAACACACGTCACAGGTGCGCAGGGGTGGGCTTCAGGGAAAAGCGACATAACCACTGGCAAAGCTAAGTGTGCGTCAGATGTCTCATGGCGCTACTCATCCCTTTTAGCTCTGGTCTAAGTTAAAAGACGAAAGTATTAAACAGATGGATGGCGGTCTGCGTTGCGGCTTAGTGGGTAAGACCGCGGCCCACGATGCCAGCACCCTCGTGGGTGCCAGCTCGTGTCCCAGCTGCTCCACTTCTGACCCAGCTCTGTGCTGTGCCTGCGCAAAAGCAGCGGCAGATGGTCCCCGGGCTAGGGCGCCTGCTGCCCACAGGAGCAGGGCTCCAGGAGACCTTGAACAAGCTCCTGGCCTCTGGCTTTGGCCTGGCCCGGCTCCTGCCGTTGCAGCCATTAGGGAGTGAACCAGTGGATGGAAGACCTCTCCTCTCTGTAACTCTTTAAAAAAAACAAGGATCGCTTATTGCTCATAATATTGGATGTGCAACAAAAATATAGATTCTGATATCAATACCGTAAATAGGAAGAAATAAAAGTGTGGAGGTTTTGTATGCAATTGAAGTTGTTATCAGCTGAAAACAGACTGTTACTACCGTAAGATATTTCATGATAACCACAAAGAAACCACCTTAGTTTTGCTTATTTTAGAAACATCTGAAATCTGCTTCCGCGCGGATACAGGGTGGCGATCCTGACTCCTCGCAGGTGGATGCCCAATGTCCTGACACCGGAACTGACCGCTGACGCTCTGAAGGCCAGGGAGATGATCCCGACCCCTTCCGCACCTGAGGACACAGAAACCCCATCCCCCACTCCAGGACGCAGTAAGAAGGCCCAGTCTGTGAACCCGGACAAAACAGGGCCAGGCCCCGCCCACCACCTCTGTGTGAGGCCACAGGGACAGGCCCCGCCCACATTACCATGTGCGGACACAATGACAGGCCCCGCCCACCACCGGGTGAGGACACTCGGGTGCCTAGCAACAGTGGAGAAAGCCTGTGACTCTACAGCTCTGGGTTGGGTGGGAACCCCCATCCTGTGACCCCACGGAACCTGAAGGCACATGCTACCCCCAACATCTGTCCCCCAGAGCCTGCAGGCTGCTCCGACCCAGGTACATGCATGACTGTGGCATGCTTTTAATTTGACAGGCAGAGAGAGAGACAGGGGCAGGGACAGGGACAGATCTTCCTTCCTCTGGTTCAGTCCCCAAAGGCTGCGAGCGCTGGGCCTGGGACAGGCTGAGGCCAGGGCCTGAGTCCACGCGGGTCTCACCCGGTGTCAGGGCCCAGCATCTGAGCCATCACTGCTGCCTCCTGTGGCGAGCACTGGCGGGAAGGAGAGAGCAGGGGCAGGCAGGGTATGGGTGCCCGGACGGGACAGGTGCAGAGGGCAGGCCGTGCCTGGGACAGCGGTGCCACCAGGAGGGGGTGGGGGAGGGCCCAGGGAGGGGCTTCCACAGGGGAGGCCTAGAGAGCTTGGGCAGACCTGCTGCAGGGTTAGCGAGGCCTGGGGCGCGGGCTCTGCTGGGAGCCGTCACTGCCCTGCTGGCACGGCCCTGGGCACGTCCAGTTCCCGCACGGTCAGGAGGCCCGCGCCTCCCTCCCGCCTAGTGCCGCCGAGCGCCCAGGCGGTTCACCAGGGAGCCAGGACCTGCTGCTAGCAGAGTATCCTCCGTGCCTGCTGGACCTGCGCCTGAGCTGCCCCAGCCCCCTCCTCCCGGCAGCCCCCAGAGCCCACCCCTCCCTGGGACTGTCTGCAGCCGAGGCTCTCAGCTGTCACGGGGTGGGCCCTGGCTTTCATGCAGTCCCTCCTCTTCCTCGCTGGAGAGCACTCCCACCAGGCCAGTGTGGAGGCAGCACACACGTCCAGGACCCCAGCAGCAGGCGGCAGAGCGGGTCCAGGGGAGGGCAGAGGAGTCCAGCCCCGGGGGGGCCCCGCGTGGCTCCGTGGGCCTGTGCACAGAAGACGTGACCAGACCTCACAAGCTTCACTCTTTTTTTAATAAACCGGCATAAAGCAGAATTTATTTACATAATGCAATGATCCGTGAAGGTTACCATAACACCGAGGGACCATATTAGCCGCTTGGGTGGAATTCATTAGAAATTAACTACCACTTAAATTAATTTTCTCACCGTCACAAGGCTGTAATGGTGGAGAAGGCGCCGTCCGTCAGCAGGTGCTGACAGGGCACCTGTCACCTCCGTGATTTATAGGTGAGTGCGTCAGCCGTGCAGCAGGCGCGGGGCCAAACGCAGAGCCACCAGACTCAGAGGCCGCGTCGGAGGGCCCGGAAACACCCTTGATTGAAAGCAAGCCGGCCTCGCCGAACCCCAGCCTTTCTGACACCCAGAGAGGCGACAGGGCAGCCACGCAGGTGTGTGACTGACAGGCCACAGGGACCAGCCTTTGTTCCAGAGAGCACTCCGTGAGACACACGGCTTCCAGGCGGCACTGGGGACAGCGCTGCAGCCTGTGCAAAGCACAGGAGCCCCTTAGAGCCCACACCCAGAGCCCAGCTCACGGCCCACCCCACCCCGGGTACCCAGAGCCCAGCTCACGGCCCACCCCCCCGGGGCACCCAGAGCCCAGCTCACGGCCCACCCCCCGGGGCACCCAGAGCCCAGCTCCCGGCAGCCCTCACAGCTCAGCCCCCCCAGGGCACCCGTGTCCAGGCCCCCCCAGCCCTCACAGCTCAGCCCCCTCGGGGCACCCGTGTCCAGGCCCCACCAGCCCTCATGGCCCTCCCCCCCGGGGCACCTGTGTCCGGCACCCCCAGCCCTCATGGCCCACCCCCCGGGAGCACCGGTGTCCAGGCCCCCCCAGCCCTCATGGCCCACCCCCCCCGGGGCACCCGTGTCCAGGTCCCCCCAGCCCTCACGGTCCTCCCCCCCGGGGCACCCGTGTCAATGCCCTCTAGCCCTCTGCCCTGTTGCTCCCCCTCTTCGTGGAGGAACGACACTAGACCCTGCGTTGTTCTTTTGTCTGCTCGGCCCTCCCCGGGTTTGCTGCTGGTCCTTCCCGGGTTGGCTACCGTCCCTTCCACCTCCGTGGAAGGGCGGTTCCCCCTGCCACTTTCCCCACTTCCGCGGGGGAGCGGCACACTGCCGGCCGGCTCTCTCGGGGGCTGCACAGGTGTTCCTTCAGATAGATGTTCCTGGTGCATGGTGTCTCTCTCCTCCTTTATAGTCCTCTTCCACCAATCCCAACTCTGCTACCCACACGCCGAATACGCTGCTCTCTTCCAATCAGGAGCAGGTCCTGCTGTTTATTGGTTGAACTGGAGGCAGCTGTGTAGAAGCTGTTTCCTCCTCTCCCAGCGCCATATTGTGGGAGAGCAGATGCATAGAATAAGTCTTAATTCGAGTAACAGTCTAGTCTGAGTTGCTCCCCACAATGGCCCACCCCCCTGGAGCACCCGTGTCCAGGCCCCCCCAGCCCTCACGGCTCTCCCCCCCCCGGAGCACCGGTGTCCAGGCCCCCCCAGCCCTCACGGCCCACTCCTCCCAGGGCACCCGTGTCCAGGCCCCCCAGCCCTCATGGCCACCCCTCCCAGGGCACCCATGTCCAGGCCCCCCAGCCCTCACGGCCCTCCCCACCCTGGAGCACCCGTGTCCAGGCCCCCCAGCCCTCACGGCCCACTCCTCCCAGGGCACCCGTGTCCAGGCCCCCCCAGCCTTCACAGCCACCCCTCCCAGGGCACCCGTGTCCAGGCCCCCCCAGCCTTCACAGCCACCCCTCCCAGGGCACCCGTGTCCAGGCCCCCCCAACCTTCACGGCCACCCCTCCCAGGGCACCCGTGTCCAGGCCCCCCAACCCTCACGGCCCACCCCTCCCAGGGCACCCGTGTCCAGGCCCCCCAGCCCTCACGGCTCTCCCCCCCGGGGCACCCGTGTCCAGGCCCCCCAGCCCTCACGGCCCACCCCCGCCCGGAGCACCCGTGTCCAGGCCCCCCAGCCCTCACGGCCCTCCCCTCCCAGGGCACCTGTGTCCAGGCCCCCCATCCCTCACGGCCCTCCCCCCCGGAGCACCCGTGTCCAGGCCCCCAGCCCTCACGGCCCTCCCCCCCGGAGCACCCGTGTCCAGGCCCCCCAGCCCTCACGGCCCTCCCCCCCGGGGCACCCGTGTCCAGGCCCCCCCAGCCCTCACGCCCACCCCCTCCCCGGGGCACCCGTGTCCAGGCCCCCCAGCCCTCACGGCCCTCCCCCCCGAGCACCGTGTCCAGGCCCCCCAGCCCTCACGGCCCTCCCCCCCCGAGCAACCCGTGTCCAGGCCCCCCCAGCCCTCCACGGGCCCTCCCCCCCGGGGCACCCGTGTCCAGGCCCCCCAGCCCTCACGGCCCTCCCCCCCGGGGGCACCTGTGTCCAGGCCCCCCAGCCCTCACGGCCCTCCCCCCCGGGCACCTGTGTCCAGGCCCCCCAGCCCTCACGGCCCTCCCCCCCGGGGCACCGGTGTCCAGGCCCCCCCAGCCCTCACGGCCCTCCCCCCCGTGTCCAGCCCCCAGCCCTCACGGCCCTCCCCCCCGGGGCACCCGTGTCCAGGCCCCCCAGCCCTCACGGCCCTCCCCCCCGGGGCACCCGTGTCCAGCCCCCCAGCCCTCACGCCCTCCCTGGGGAAGTAGGGGCTGACCCACTTTAGGGAAGAACTTGCAAGGACTCCTCCATCTCAAGCACATGTACATGTGTGCAGCATGCCTGTGCAGTGACGTGTGCACACACGTGTGCGTGTTTGCCTGCAACAACATACATGGTATGTGTATTCACCCACAGGGTATTCCGTTCCTGCGTTTCAGCTCATGCATGTGAATGTTCGGCATGTTTGCGTGTGCACACATGTGGTTGATGGAAGTGCATGGCGTGCACCTGCACAGGAGGCCTCGGGGACAGTGACCTCGGGGACAGTGGCCTCGGGGACAGTGACCTCGGGGACAGTGGCCTCGGGGACAGTGGCCTCGGGGACAGTGACCTCGGGGACAGTGGCCTCGGGGACGGTGGCCTCGGGGACGGTGGCCTCGGGGACGGTGACCTCGGGGACGGTGGCCTCGGGGACGGTGACCTCGGGGACGGTGACCTCGGGGACGGTGACCTCGGGGACAGTGACCTCGGGGACAGTGGCCTCGGGGACAGTGACCTCGGGGACAGTGACCTCGGGGACAGTGGCCTCGGGGACAGTGACCTCGGGGACAGTGGCCTCGGGGACAGTGACCTCGGGGACAGTGGCCTCGGGGACAGTGACCTCGGGGACGGTGGCCTCGGGGACGGTGGCCTCGGGGACGGTGGCCTCGGGGACGGTGACCTCGGGGACGGTGACCTCGGGGACGGTGACCTCGGGGACGGTGGCCTCGGGGACAGTGACCTCGGGGACAGTGACCTCGGGGACAGTGGCCTCGGGGACAGTGACCTCGGGGACAGTGGCCTCGGGGACGGTGACCTCGGGGACGGTGGCCTCGGGGACGGTGGCCTCGGGGACGGTGGCCTCGGGGACGGTGACCTCGGGGACGGTGACCTCAGGGACAGTGACCTCGGGGACGGTGACCTCGGGGACGGTGACCTCGGGGACAGTGGCCTCGGGGACAGTGACCTCGGGGACAGTGGCCTCGGGGACAGTGGCCTCGGGGACAGTGGCCTCGGGGACAGTGGCTGCCGGTGCGTCTGAGTTCCAGGAGGGACAGGACTGCGTGTGCCCAAGTGGCTGACTGGCGTGTGGGCGGGAAGTGGCAGGTCTGAATGCAGCGCCAGGACCCCCAGGGCCGTCTGGAGCAGGCGGGCCTGGGCCCCACCGGCATTTCTGACACTCGGAGCCGGGCCTCCGTTGTTCGGGGTCCTGGGTCTCGGGGCCGAGGACAGGTGACTGGCCACAGGCCAGGTGGAGGAGCCACAGAGCGACCTCCTGGCCGAGCCCACTCCTGTGCAGTGTGTGTGCGAGAGAGAAGCCCGCAGCTCCAGCAGGGGCCGGGCGGGGGTGCCGACAGGAGAGCCCAGCGTTTGCCCCGCAGCGCTGAACCCGTGCTCCAGGCACGAGCCGTCGGCGCCCACCAGGCGGCGAGCAGCCTGCAGAACAGCACACAGCCCCGGGCACGCGGCGCCGGTGTCGGCACTCAGAAACACCGTCCTTGAAGGGCGCGGGGCAGACGTGGGGAAATGTGTGCCTGCCTTTCTCCGGGGAGCACTTGGTTCAAATTAGCTTCCGCCAGAGGAAACACAGGTCCCCGCTCCCCGTCGCCGACTCCGCGGCTCTGTCTGCCTTTGACACACGCGATGGCAGGTCCAGGGACCGGTCCGGCCGCCCTCGCGACGGCTTCCTCAGGACAAGCCGCTGGCGGCGCCAAGCGGGACAAACGGCCCGGGGCGCTGGCCTGATGGCGCCTGCATTTGCACCCCCAGCTGTTGGGGGTCACAGCTCCACGTCTGGGTGGCAGGGTCCAGGGCTCCCCCTCCCCCTCCCCACACCAGCACCCAAGGCTGTGGGGGCAGTGGCAGCGTCCAGCACGGGGCAGGCCGGCCAGGGTGTGCTCGGCCCAGACACGCGGGTCCTGTGTTGAGAACATCATTTCCACTTCTTGCCTTTCTCGCCCGTCCATCTCTGCACTGTTCAATGTGCTTTTTCCAGACCACGTCCGGTGGCCCCTCACCCCACCTGGATTCATGGCACAGGCTGTGGGGTCCACTTGGCGTCGGGCCGCAGTCTGTGGGGCAGCCGAGTTCCTGTCTAAGTTAAACCAGATGGGAGCGTGTCCCCCGCTCCGGCTTGGCCGGCGCTCGTCCGGAAGCTGAACACAGCCCAACCACGGGGTCCCATCTTGTGCTGCCAGACGGGAGGGGGCTGTATCCCACAGTCAAACCCCAGTGCTTGGTTCAGACTCAGCGCCCCGTCACGTTGGGAAACAACTGAGACGCCGACGCGTCCAGACAACCCCGCGTGACAGTCACTTTTCCTGTGCTGTCACAGTAAACGTGCTGTCCTTGGAGTGGGCTGGTGTGTGTGGACAATGCGGCCTTCACGAACAATCAGCTGCGTGCCGCCCACGCTCCTCGCAGAAGTCCTGCCGAGTCACCTCTGTCCTCCAAGCCTGTGCCCCCGGCGCCCGGGGCACCACCACCCCCGAGCCCAGGGCGCAGAGCGGCACGCGGGGGCGAGGCCGGCAGCAAGCCCCCACGAGGCCAGGCAGGAGCTCCGCCCCAGCGCTCAGCAGTGCCGCCGTGCCACAAAGCAGGCACAGACAACGTGCAAACCACGACTGTGGCCGTGGCCCGGCAGGAGTTTAATCACAAAGCAGATGCGGGACGTGCGGCTTGAAGCCCCTGAGGCCTCGGTCACCGAGCCTGCCCTGGCCTGAGCGGCTGTCACCAAAGAACAGACCTCTCGCCCAGGCTCCCCTGGCCCGCACACTCCAGGGTTGAGACCCCTGACTGAAGGAATCCCACACACAAACACTCCCATGTCTATCCACACACGCAGGTGTCCAACCACACACACGTGTCCACTCATGCACAACATCCACCACACACACGTGTCACCCATGCACACACATGTCCACTCATGCACGTCCACACACACGTGTCACCCATGCACACACGTGTCCACTCATGCACGTCCACACACGCAGGTGTCCAACCACACACACGTGTCCACTCATGCACGTCCACCACACACACGTGTCTGCCCATATACACGTGTCCACTCACGCACATCCACTATGCACACATGTGTCCATCCATGCACAACGTCCACCATACACATGTGTCTGCCCATGCACACATGTGTC